AACATTTTATCCCTTTCTCCATAACTCTTGTTTTAATAGTGTGGGTAGTTTCTTCCTTTTGTTTAGTTCTATATATTTTATTTCATACGATAGACAGAACATGGTAAGCTTGAAGTTTTTTTCATGACTGTTCTCCAAAACAATATAAAGTTAAAACAGTCATCAATTAATATGTTTTTTCTTGTAAATCCAAGTTAATTCAAATGCAATATAAAAAAAAAAACAGAACAGTTTATTTATATAAAAAGATAAAGACTATGGAATCACATAAACCATTACAAAACAAAAGACAAAAATTAAATCTAAATTATAAAATCAGATGCAGAACTATTCTACGCATTTCAATTCATCTTCACTATAAGAAAAAAACGAGGAAATCGGACGCGTCGATCGGTCCTGTGAGAGGGCAACATTCTCTTTCTCTTTCTGCTGCTTTCCAGGTGCCAAATCTTCCTCGATATGGTAAGCTTGCTCGGTCTTTCGCGATGACAGCCGCGTTTGAGTGGTGAGGTTATCTTATGTTGTGGCTTCTACTAGTCGACGGCATTAGACATCGGCAGAGTGTAGCTAAAACCCTTTCACTTGTCTCAAACAATTCGATCGGCGTAGATCTATTTTGTAGATCTCTCTCTTACCTAGTGAATCCAGTGACGGTGAAGCTTCAATAGGCACTGTGTTTCCTCTTCTCTGTCTTAAATCGGTTTTGACACCTTTCAGGCTTTGTGTGGAAAATCCGCCGCGTCTCTTTCTTTCCGGTGGTTTGGGCGTTTTCTCTGTTGAAACTTTCGCTCGTGGTCGGCTGTGGCTCCGGATGTTTGTCGTCTCTGTCTTTGCCTGTAAGTCTGAGGTAGTCTTCAAGGTTTGGATTGTTGAGACCTCTGATGGTGGAGACTGTGATGCTAAGCCGTGTTTAATGGTTTGTTTTTTCTCCATCTCTTGACTACTTGAGCCTCGATCTCTATGTCCATTCCCTTTTGAATTTAGTTTTAGGGCAATGTTTCTTGGTTTGTTTTGCTTGGGTTTCTTCTCTTAGCGATTTGGCCCGATGAAATGGTTATCTTTCCGTTTGATTAATCTGCTCGTGGACAGTAACATATTACTTCGAGAGTGTGATCACTGTGGCATCTCGGGTGTTAGATTTTTTCCAAGTCGTCACTCTGATTTGCTTTCCAGAACTTACGAGGATGCATCCTTGATATGGTAAAGTTACCGGTGGAGACTACCTTACTGTCTCTTGTGTTTACGTCATTGTATACCTAGTTTTGATGGTTGGGGTTTGGACCAGTTGTTAGTTGTGTCTTGCTGCTGAGGTTTGCTTTGCAGTTGTTGTTTTACTGGTTAGCCTTTTGCTCTAGAGGAGCTAGTATGGCCATTGAGTTAGGTGTAGTTTATAGTGGTTTATCTGGCTCTGGACTTGCTGACTTCAAGTGACCTTGGTAGGGAGAGCTTACACCGCTCGCTATCATGGTCTGTGAAGTTTCTTCTTTGTGTTAACTCATGAAATTGTTCATCCATCCACTCTCACGGGACGCGAGAAGAGTTCGTGATCGAGGGATGGAAAGACTTTGCCATTGACGACACATTCTCGAGCCTCCATTGAATGGTTTCTATTGCTACGGTTATTATAGCTCTCTCGGCTTATTGGGTTTGCTTCACATACGCAACTCTCCAAACTGATTTGGGACGAACAAAAAACATCGTCGTCACTTCGTCGTGCTTCATTACCACTAGTGGTTATGTTGAGTGGACAGACTGAAAACCATAATGAATTATGCTTCCATGTTTTTACCTTTTTGGTGATGAAATATTTTTATAGGTTTATGATTACTTTTGTAAACCTAAAACGTTTTCATTTTCAATGAAATATTTACCTTTTAGCAACAACAAAAAAAATCATCTTCACTATCAAGATTTGAATAGAAAATATGAAAATGAAAGCTTATCAAGCTCAACATATATATATACAGTATGAAAAATGTTAATACAAATAATGAATTAGAACAAATAATGAATTAGAATTTTAAGAATACAAGTAAACGGTGAACCTTTTTATATACACACATTGATTTTGTACTCAACATATACACTTTTCCACAACATTTTCAATTCCAATGTGTTTTTCCACA